TTTGGCAACAGTTACAATTTATATTTGTAAATTGTAGTTATGTTGAAATAAAAAAACATATTACAATACTATTTTTGCGTCTTATGAAAATTTTTGTTGGTCCATATAAAATTTTTAATCAAGCCTCCCCACCCTCCGGTCAAAGGTGTCCCTCTTTACCAATCTGAAAATCTGGTCACCTTATTCTTGCTCCAGGAATTGAAGGATGTTTTCCTCCCTCCCTCCCTCCCTTCCCAGGGATCGCAGCTGCCACTATTTTCACCCCCAAGAAAGATGTGCAAGTCTCAGAGAAGCAGCTTCGTGTTGCCTTTGATGGAGATGCTGTGCTGTTTTCAGATGAGTCAGAGCAGATTGTGAAGGCTCACGGCCTAGACAAATTCTTTGAGCACGAGAAGACTTACGAGAACAAGCCTCTTGCTCAGGTGCGACTCAGGGACTGGTGGCATTGTGACCAAATCAACCTTTTCATTATTGTTTTTGCCAAGAGCAAGAGGATTATTTTTATGTCTGCCCTGCTAACAAACACATTAGATAGAACAAAGGGAGAAAAAACATTCTAAATGCCAACAAAACAAGACAGCAACACCATTTCAGTGTAACAGCTTCTATTAGACCCAAAGAAGGATTGGCAAATTCAAAGAACAGGAGGCCATCTGGGCATGGCTGGGGTGAGGGCAGGGAAGCTTCTGGCCCCGGGGCCTTCCAGAGGGTGATGTGCCTGAGCTGGTCCCCATTTCCTGACTACCTGGGGAGTGGGCCACATGCTGGGGCTGATGCTGTGTGTTCCTCTGTCCAGGGGCCACTGAAGGGCTTCCTAGAAGTGCTGGGGAAGCTTCAGAAGAAGTTCTACACCAAAGGCCTCCGCCTGGAATGCCCCATCCGCACCTACTTGGTCACAGCTCGAAGTGCTGCCAGTTCCGGGGCCCGAGCCCTAAAGACTCTCCGGAGCTGGGGACTAGAAACGGACGAGGCCCTCTTCTTGGCCGGCGCACCCAAAGGCCCCTTGCTGGAGAAGATCCGACCACATATCTTCTTTGATGACCAGATGTTTCACGTGGAGGGAGCAAAAGAAATGGGCACTGTCGCCGCCCATGTTCCTTATGGGGTTGCCCAGAAGTACAAGCTCTCAGGACAAAGAAAGGTAGCTCAGGACGCCAAGTAGTGCCCAGGGATGGCCTGGCCTGGGTCAGCGCTTGGTTGAGAAGGATGTCTCGGTTGCTGAGCGCCAACCTCTAGGATGACTAGAAGCAAAGGTGTTGGGGTGGTCCATGAAGGATCTGCTGCTGCCTGTACATGTTGCACTTTATGCTCTTCCCCACCAGAACAATAGCTGTGTCCCACACACTCCTGCAGGGCCCTTGGAGCATTTGCAGGGGCTTTTTAGTGTCCCTCCTGTAATCAAGAGTGCTTCAAGATAGAACTTGCCTTCTCTTCCTCCAAAATGGGATCATTTTGCATCTGGGGACATTTTCTTGTGACCTATGCTAGGTGAACTTACATATGTCACACTCTCACAAGTACAGCATGCAGGAATTGCTGACGAGGCCCATGGGAGCCTTGTCAAAAGACCTGCTTGCAATCTTCTCTTGTTTGCAAAAAGGCCATTTGTTGCTGGTTACATGGCAGAGACCAGCTTGAAGCATTCAGCCGAGGGGAGCCTGCTTGGGAAGAGGGAAGTCCCTGTGATGAGCCAGCAGAGGCTCATCATTTGAGAGAAATTCTCCTGCCTCCCGTCTCTTCTGGCCACAGGGGGAGGGGGCCATTCATTGTCCTCCCCTCCAAAGTGCCACTGCCAGGAAAGGAGTTCTGAGGTTATAAGCATATTCATAGCCACAGAAGCTGCCTTGTTTGCCAAGCACATGGAGCGACTTCACGTGTCATTCAGGATGCAGTCTTTCCTGTGAGCCAGGCAGGAGCGAAAGTGGGGAAAGTGGGCTTTGGCTCTGATTTTGAATGCAAAAATGAGCCTTGGGTAAATTCGGGCTCCATGTGAGAGTCACACAGTGTTCCACAAGCAAGAAGGGGGAGAGGGCTCCCTTTACAACACTGACCACCCTTTGGGGGAAGGAGAAGAACACACAAAGCCTTTTTTCCTTTTCCTTTCCAAGCTTTGAGGTTGCAGGCTGAGACCAGAAGCAGACAGCCACAGCTCAAATCCCGACTCAATGTGGAAACTCAGAAGGTAGTCTGAACAAGTTGCTCACTCTAAATATATTAAATTTAAAAAGTGGAAGCCATCGCCTCCCTCCAAGGGCTCCTGAGAGCTTTTCATCCACAGCATCAGACCAGAATGGAATCAAAGGATCCTAGGGTTGGAAGGGACTTTGGAGGTCTTCTAGTCCAACCCCCTGCCCAAAGCAGGTGTCCTCAATGAAGTTTCTTCCACTTTCAGTATGACTGCACATTACTCTTGGGAAAAGATCCAAGAAACAATTTCCCCATGGAACTCACTGCCCCATTCTTTCCTTTTGCAGAAATAATTTTTCTTCATCTTCATGATTGTGAGTGAAACACCGTCACATCTGCCTGACTTGATGGAAGGATCTGTAGTAAACCTTCTGTTACCACACCTTCCCTTGTATCTTATTCACTATCCTGGTCACCTGCCAATGTATCTTTAAAACATAAGGTCTAGGAGCATGTAGAATTGGGGGGGGGGGGATATTGCCTCCCGACAGATAAAACCTGAGCTATTCTCCCGAGAAACGTCTCTCCCAGGTGCAACTATGGTGGTCAAAGTCCAAGCTCTTCTTTTGGCACTGAAGACAGCGAATGTGCCCCTCATGGTGATTCTCCTCTTCTCAGGGCATCTTGGGAATGGGCTGTCCTTCCGCAATCTTGCACTAAGACCTCAACCACCAATCTTTCCTCAAAACTGGTTGGTGTAAGTCCTCTGGCTGCATCCACACAGCCCCTGGCCCCTGGTCCTTCTCTTATGTCTTTGGGTGTGTTGCAGACCCAGGCCAGTTAGCTGAAATGTGATTCTGTATATCATAGGAACCCCGGCTGCAGCAAGCCAAACATCTGGTGTGAAGCCCAGCCTATGAAAGCCTACTGTATGGTGTAAGGAGGGGGATTTTGCTGCAGCTTTTACCTGAGCCAATAGGCAGTCTTTCATTTATGACAGCAATTGGAAGTGGCATTTCTGTTGCTAAGTTATGCAGTCAGAAAGCAATCTGCAGTCCAGATTGCTGTCGTTAACTGGATCCCATGGTCACTAGATTAGGCAACTTCCTGCCAGCTTTCCACAACCAAAATCAGTGGGGAAACTGGCAGATACTTGCAAATCCCAAGCCAGGTAAATGGTTGCTCCCGGGTGGGGAAGGGTGCGAGGGGCTGCAGAGGAGAGGCGCAGCAAGGGTTGTGGAGGTTGCATGGGGAATGTGCAAGAGGTGTGGCCAGGGTGGGGGGGGGATCAGGGGGAGACAAGAGGTGGGTGTAGGTCAGGGAAGAGGCACAGCCCAGAGGCACAGCGTGTGGGGCAGGATGCATGGGAGTGACCACGTGCCTGGTGTGGTGTGAGTGCAGAGGGGATGTGGGTGGGGTTACCTTCCCTGCTGGCTTCCCCATTGCAAGGTGCTGCAAATGGTTGTAAATGTGTACTAGTTACCAAGCACCCCGATCACAAGAAAGCAGGACTGCTGGGATGGCCAGAACTCTGAGGACGGGTCATAACCACCATTCGTGCACCGCCATTGTAACTTTGAATGGTTACAGAATGGATGGTTGCAGGTCAAGGACTGCCTATAGCTGGAGCTCCAGAAGAGGATCAAAACAATCGCCATAAAGGGGTCACCAAAGCTCCATCCCTTTTAGTGATGTCTGCAGGCAACATTTGGCTTTGATTCTGGGGCCAGCGGGGTGCCCAGGGCCCCATCCTCCTCTTCTGCAGCCTGGGTCCTCCATCTGGCTGAAATCGAGGGACCCCCCACATCCTTGGGCTCCTCATCAGTGCCCCAATAACTTCCTCTGAACACCCCCCAGCCGCTTGTTCTTTGCACCGCTCAGTTTAGCTGTCCTGGGGCTCAGCCTGCGCCCTGCTTTGCTAGCGTCCTGATCCTGGCTCGCCTGCAGCAGGTTTGCAGCGTGATCTCTGACAGGGAGGCAGCCCAACCAAGCAGCAGGAGACAGCTGGGCTGGGCTTCCCCATCCCTGGGGGAGAGCCGGGTGCCTTGGAACAAGCACCCAAACACACAGCTCTTTCATGGGCGGCCAATGCTCTGGATGCCCAGGACTCCCCCCTGCTGACTTTCAGTCTGTGCCCATGGAAATCTTCTCAACGGAGCCTTTGGACAGGAGTAGGAGGCTGTCCCAGCGCCCCAAAGGAGAAGAGGCAGAGGCTTAAGGGGAGGGGAGGGGAGGGTGGCGCCTTGGGGCTACAGAGCTCCCTCTGCCAAAGCGCTAAGAATAGGCTTGGCTCCAGCCACAGCTTACCTGCTTGTCATGCCTTCCCGGAGGAGGCCTCTATTTATAGAGGGCCAATTGAGGGGTGTGTGTGCAAAAGTGTGGGGGGAGGGAGGAAACAGGAAGGGGCAGTTAACAGGCCGGAAGCTGTTTTTGCAAAGCAGCAAAAAGAAATGTCATTTCTTCCTCAATTCCGTTCCAAGGCTCTGGACCTGTGTAACAAAAAAAATACTGGTTCTCCCCTACTTAGAAGCATCCGTTTAATGGCTGTTCTTCAGTGTCGTTACAACAACACTGAAGAAAACGACTTACGGTCATGCGATCAAAATTGGGACACTTGGCAACTGCTTCATATTTATGATGGTCGCAGTGTCCCGGGATCATATAGTCTCCTTTTATGACCTTCTGACCTGCAGTGAGAAACCCACTGACTTTGCTCACTTAACAACCATGTGACTAATTTAACAACCATAGCAATTCACTTAACAACATGACAGGAAGGATTGTAAAATGGGTCAAAACTCATTTAACAACTGTCTTGCTTTTCAACAGAAATAATGCAATGTGTGTGTGACCCCTGTGCTCCCCCGCCCTTCCCACACATGCATGTGCACTCCCTCACACGTACCCTGCCCCCCGCGCATGTGCACAACCATCCATCCCTGTACATGTGTCTCCCACATGCACCCTCCCCCCCACGCATGCGTAGCAGAGACCTGAAAACCAGCTGGCTGGTGATGGTGCATGTGCCCACAGAGAGGGATCTGTGTGCCCCCTGTGGCACACGTGCCATAGCTTCACCCTCACGATGATATGAAGGGCTCCTGGCAAGGGTTGGAGTGCACCTCACAAGTTAACCGGAAAGAACATATTTGGACAACAACTGGCTCATGTTATCAGAAGGGCTTTAAACTTAAATTGAGAGGGTGGAGGGGAGGGCAGTTTTCAAGACCTTTAGAATCTTATTCCAAGCAAAAACCACGAGGTAGCCAATCATATAAGGAGGTAGGGAATAAAGAGAAAGAAGAAAAAGAAAAACAGAAAACACAATGAAGGATGATGGGAAGGACGAAAACCCAGTTACAAAATAGGAGATAAAAGAAACACAAAGGACTCAAATGCCTAGACACAAATGCTCAAAGTTTAGGAAAGAAACGGGGGGAACTTGAAGTGTGGGTACATGAAGGCAGACATGGCATAGCTGCCATTATTGAAACATGATGGGAGGAAAGCCATGACTGGAATGTACGGATGGAAGGATGCAAACTATTGAAAAGAAACAGACCTAACGAAAGAGGAAGTGGAGTTCCATTATACATAAAAGATCATGACATCTGTACTGAAACCCACAAAACCAAGGATGAAAACCTAGAATCCATAGGGGTCAATATAAAAGGAAAAAAGAATGACGTTGCTATAGGCCACGGGTGTCAAACTCGCGGCATCATGTTGCCATCATGAGACGTTTCATGACGTTTTCCCCTTCGCAGAGCTGGGGTGGATGTGGCCACCACGTGACGTATCTGGCCCACGGGCCACCAGTTTGACATCCCTGTTATAGGCGTATACTACAGCCCACCCACCAAGCAGAAGAAATAGATGAACTTTTTGCTAAACAATTAACAAATTGTTAAAGGGGAAAACAACTCAAGAAGTGTGGAAAACACTGAAAAATATGATCATAGAAGGCCAGTCCAATACAATACCACTGAAAAAGAAAAACAAGAAATCCAAGAAGAAACCAGCATGTTTGCGCAAAGATCTCTATGATGAACTGAAAGACAAAAAGTACAAAAGTACAAAAAATGGGAAGAGGACACATAACTAAGGTAGAATAATATCAGCAGATAGCCCAAGAGAGGTTGTCAGCCCTCTTCCAGAGAAAGGTCTCTATTGGTGCCTGAAGACAAGCAAGATGGCCTCGATGGGGCACCGGTCGGTCCGTTCCATCCTCAGCGAAATATCGCTCTAAATCCTGCCCACGGTCACCAGAATTGTTGCAGAAAATGA